CATTAATTCTGAAAGTAATATTTTTTTACTTAATCCATAAATAATGCATTGTCTCAGGTTCTACAAAACGACAAAGCACAAGAAACATAACTCAACTGGGTTACGGTGTTTATGAACACTGTGACAGCTATCCAGAATTGATGAAGTTTGTGCAGGATCACTGTTCTTCCATTGGTAATAACCATTTAAACTTGGAGAGCCTTGCTTGTAGACACTTTTCATACCTTTAGCTTGGAACCACCACAGCTGTCTGTGGAATGGAGACTTTTCCCTTGAAAAAGGGAAAGGACATGGAGAAAGTCACGATGGCCACATACCCATTTCCTCCTTTCTTTAGAGGACAATCTGCAGTTTTAATTGGTTTGAAGCTGTGGTTTACAGAGAATGAGACCTTCCTTCAATGACTTTGGTATGCAACACTCATTGTATAACCTGACCTAAGGCTGTTCAGAAGAAACACCAGTTTATGGCGATCTGGTGGCAAAGAAAAATGTAATACATCTATACTGAGAAAAAATTAGGAATGTCACAGTTCCAAAATGATCCAACTCTATTCTTAGCGTGTTGGAAGTGGCAGAATGCTGCTCCGAACTGGCTGCAGGGGGCCTGTGGGAGCAAAGTTGTCTTTGTGCAACGAAAGCTGAGACGAGTTCCAAGAGAAGGAGAATGAAAATTAAATTCTTTCACAGGAACAAAAGAGATGATGTTATGGAAGCTTAAACTGACCAAAATATAAGACCAGAAAAGCCTTTTCACTCTGAATATTGTACTTCTATGTAAGAGAAATTGTTCCTGCTAGGAGCATTGCATAAACACTTCCAATGTCTGGAAATTGATAATTGTACCTTGAACTTTTCAACCTAGACATAAGTAAGCTAAACTCCAAAGACAATGGAGGATATCTGGCAGACGTTACTTGAAATATGAAAATTGCCAAGTGCGGAAGTGTTGCTACTTTTCTATTTGAAATAGGTCTGATCATTGATGCTTTTGGTGAATTAAGAGACCAGCAAGAACAAGTGAGAGAAGACATGGAGGTATGAGGACGCACTCTACATTTTTCATTATTCTTACTCATCTAGATTGTAAATAGTTAAAATAGTGTCTTTGAGATAAAATTGGTTTGTAACCACAACTTGTGTTTCTAGACCAAATGTTTTATTTGTGGAATCGGCAACGACTATTTTGACACAACCCCACATGGCTTTGAAACACATACGCTGCAGGAACACAACTTGGCAAACTATCTGTAAGTATATTTTACTACTGGAATTACAATAAAGAGACCTTTCCACTCCAGAGTAATTTAGATCCATGCATTGCTGATAAAAAGACAGAATTCTGTAGAACTGGGGAGTATCTATCTCCATTCTTTCCTGATCTCCCCTCCTCTACTCCATACCTATGACTAACTTCGACATGCTCCTACAAGAGCTGCCTTAGTGGAATGACGTGTGAAGGCACATTAACTCCTCATTCCTCTCAAAGGAAATCCAGGTATGTGGAATGATAGGGAACAACAATTTAATAATTGAGGTTAGTTTGGAAGTTTTGATTGTGACTACTGGGGCTTGGTAATGTTGGTGACACCACTGAAAATAGCTTCAATTTGACAGAAAGAAAATCCAAACAAAAGCATTTCGAGAAGATTCCTGAAAGATAAGCTACAAAACAATGTATAAGTCTACCCTATAGTTCTTTAGTGATAGTGCAGCTTTATGAAACCTCTAAGCAATCAGGAGTTGTATCTGTTTAGACTATTGCCCAATCTCCCAACACAGTGATCTTCTACTTTCATTAGTAAATACAGAGCAGATCAAAGAGGATATTTAAAAAGTTACTTGGTCATGCAACAATGCTAATTACATGAGCATTGTGCCAGAAGAACTAAAGGAGCTAAACTGGTGGCATCTTATAGATGTCTGGCTTTGGAAGGCTGCATCTGAACTTTTTAAATTAAAAAATAAAACCTACTTGAGCCTCCTGGCATGGAGGCTGCTTTACTCCTTGCATAGCAGCTGACACTGCAAAAATCAATGTGCATTACTTTTGTGAGGCAAATTTCCATGAACATCCATAGTTTTACCAGCCAACAACCTCCAAGCTCTTCTTACTATACTGAAATGGTTAATTGGTATATGGGAACCTGCAATTCACAGTAAATTCGAAATGGCCATTTCCTTAATATTATATATATAGTGGACGATCTTTTTAACCAGGTTGCTCTTTAATTATACAAATGCTAGTCAGTGTACATTACTTTCTTTATAATGAAAGCACATACCAAGTTTAACTAACTCGAAAGGCATGGCATGAAAAGTGGCCAGCCACGAGTTTTGTTACACAGAAACAGAGCATTGTTAGTACTCTGCATCCTTCCTAATTAATTGAAGCTTTCTACATTTGAGTAAGCACAGGGATCTGAGATAGCCAAGTTCAGCTTATGAGCTGCATGGCCAGGTTGAGCTTACGAGCTACATGACATCAGTGTTTGGAAATCTTGGTGCAGCCGAGGATTTGCCACACTTCTAAACTTCTTGCATAGTAGCCAACTTCTTCCAAAGTGAAGTGGTGGAACGTATGTGTATAGGAGTTGGCATATGCCTAATTCAGGTATTGCTCCTAGCACCAAGATGAAGAAAATGCTAAACCTCATTTTTCCACTTCTATATGTCTTAAATCTTTAGCACTTTTACAGGAGACGTGCTAGAGGATAGAATTTTCTCCTTTAGCATAAGCAATATCATTACTTCACTGATAGGCATAATCTCCTTTACATATCCCAGGCTAGGAAAGGTTAGGCAGAGATGTTTTCTGCATTAATACCTGCTTTCTTCATGTGCTTCTTTCAGATTCTTTTTAATGTACCTCATTAACAAGGATGAAACTGAGCATACTGGCCAGGTGAGTAGAAAAGAAATTACCCTCTAGCGTGTAGCAGCCTTGTAGCTCAGTACCACCAGGTGGAACTGATGTACCACCAGGAAGTGGGGATGATGCCACCCTCCCTGATTGTTTTCTGCAAGTGAAATAAAAGGAAGGGTTAAAAAAAAAAAAAAAAAGAGGGTAGAGGAGAAGGCTGCAGCCCTGTGCTATTCTACCCAGAACTGTGGTAGCACTGACCCAGAAGTGGGTCAGAACTCTACTAGTTACCTTACTGTCATCTTATCTCTGAAATGAAAGCCTGAAATATCCAGTTGTAATTTATCCCCAAAAGATTAAGTAGTTGCTATATTTATAGTCTAAATCAATCTATAGATAGGTACATGGATGTGCATTCAATGTTGTTAGGCCCTAGGTGTAAATAAGAGATAATTAAATCCTATTTATTTTCTTATTTATCTCATCTCAAATGAGAAGCTGTTATGCAAACACTACAAATGAACCGTATACTTCAGTGTTTTCCAAGCAAACTGAACCACATTCTATCTATACAAATTGTGTGCAGGTTTGCTCTGATATAACAGACTGATTAACTTACATGTATGCAGTATTTTTCTAATAGGGCTTAAATTTCAGTAGTACTGAATCGAGAGAAGTGCAGAACAATACTTTCACAAACATTCTTGATATACAAGTTTTGAGTTTTAATGATGTCTTCACAGTTCTACTCCATGGTCATAGGCATAGTATCTTGTTATTGTCAAACAGCACTAACTGCAGCAAGTCTGTTAAAACAAATACTCTCTTTTTCAGGAGTCATTTGTGTGGAAGATGTACCAAGAAAGATGTTGGGATTTTTTCCCAGCAGGGGACTGCTTCCGGAAACAGTATGAGGATCAACTTGGCTAATACCACAAAACAAATTATTTCTTCATTAACTATTAAGATCCAAGATAGAAAAAAAAAACCCTTCTTTTCTATTCATGACATAATTTCACATCTTGTATTTACTTTAAATGTCTTTAAACTTCAAGACATACATAAAATGTGATACTATTTCATAGGCTTTTTGTACCTACTACATATGAAACAGGTCTTTTGTTGGAATTTTCACTGGAAGAGAGAAAGCTATGCTGGGTTAAGCCTTCCAGTTCAAACATGATCTGAAATTATAGCAATTTTTTAACCACGTCATTAACCTAATGCTTTGGCAGTGCAGTTGAAAGGGCTACAAGGTGTCTTAATTGCATATTTGACATTTAAGAACTTGAACACCAGAGGCCATGCCTCAGAAAAAAATACTTCTTTTAACTAACTGCTGTCCATTTATTCCCCCCACTATTTGCTAGTGAATGTATTTTAAGATACAGCTTGAAAAGCTTTAAGCAGTTAAAAAGAAAACATTTTCAAACACTTTGTCAACCTTGAAACATTAAGTGCCTTAAAACCTCTGTAGACATAGCTATGCAAACTTTTTATTTATGTTAGTGTTCTAGGTGAACAGATCCATTAACTGTATTGCTTTTCTGTCTTTCTGTATGAAACTGCACTTAAAGTTTGTTTATACACTACCTTCAATGACAGCTTATTAAATGCTGCTGTTAAAAGACATACACTGTATCACAATGAATACAATTTAAATCTTAGGCCAAAATAAAACAATGATTAATGGTCACCTGCAAGTAGAAGCTGCTAGAATTATGCATTTTTTTTCCTTCTAATAAAAAGTGCCCACTGCAATAAAGTATTATGAACCAAATACTATGTTTGCTATTGTCTTTCGCATTTCCCTACAGTATGAAGATGTGAAGTGAGGATGATGACTAAAAACACATGTATTCATTCATCATTCATAGTTTTATTTTTAAGGACTACATAGAGCAAGTACAAGCTGAAATAACTTTCTCTTGGATATAGTGTAACCTGTATCTTTAGCAAATCCTAATTTCATCACAAATTTTAGACCCTTCTAAGAATATTAGACAATTTTTAATCACATCTAGATTAACTCTCGTTGCACAAAATTTAAGGTACCAGCAAAGAAAGCTGGACCTTTGGCAGACTGAAAAAAAAAATAAAGTGAAATATAAAGGAAATAACAGGGAGATTAAAGAAGATTCAACTTTCTACCTAATGTTTGCTATATTCAGTTATTCACGGAAGAAAATCTGAGCTTCAAGAAATCATGCTGTCCAGCCACTCTTCAAGCTCTTCCTCAGTAACAGTTTTAGATGTACTTTGCTGTTGCTGTGATGCTGTACTCTTCTCTTCAGGCATATCTAGTTTTAAAGGGTCTAAAAAGTGAAAAGAACACACTTTAAAATCTCGAAGCAATTCCATACCAGCTCTTCATCCCAGATCATTTTGCTTTTTAATATACAACTGACTCTATTTAAACAAAATCTCTCCTTAAGAATCACAATAAACAGTAGCAACAGTAAAAGAGATGAGACAGCTTAAAAAGCTCAACCAGAGCAATGTGGCTTCAAGGCAGACAGGGCCTGGTTTGCAGCAGACAATAAGTGTTCTCCCTACTGCAATTTGTTGGCAATCCCATCACTGCAGAGGTTACTTTAATGTAGAAGAGCAGGAGACCACACCAGCAGATTGCCTTGCACAATTATTACAGCACATGTTACAGTATGATTCCATATTCTGATGGCATTGTTTTCTTAATGATTTAAGCTGTGCTTTGGAGTGAAAAGCATGACCTACCACTGAAATAAAAGAGCACTTCAAGACTGTCTTCAGTAACAAGGTTTGCTATATATCCTACATGTTCAGCCATCTTGGGCTTATTAAGATAGCAAGACTATCACACACAAAAAAATCAAAGATGCTAAAGATTCTTTTAAAGCATGGTGGACTGGGGATGAGTAGTAAGCCACCTCCATCAAAACAAACAGCAGTGTAGCTTCCAACAATGCAAACAAAAGAAAGGGGTTGCTGATTTTTCTGAAATTGTAATTTTGCATATGTTTTGTTTCCATGCTAAACAATTTTATAAAATTGATGCTAGTACAGTTTGAAAAGAGCATTTATAACAAGCCATCAGAAATAGCTGTCAATTCTTCTGTATGCTATCAGCACAGTGAACTAAGGGCCAATAATGTTACATGAAAGCTTTACCATCCACTCTAAAATTCTCTAGTAGTGCTTTATTTTTGTTTTTTTTTAATTTTAAATTTTGCTGATTCACAAGACCAGTGCTGCTCTGCAGAAGGAACTTTAGTGGAGAGATAAAATTCAAAAGAAACAAATGTGTCAGAACATATCCTCAGGTAAATGCAGTATGACAGAAATGATGACAGCAGTACTTTCACTGGCCAATCACAAATTCAAAACATCACCAAAACAGAGAGCAATGTAAATTAAATAAGGGCATGCTGAGGAGAAAAGAGATCTTACCATTTTCCTTACAATCATTTTTCAAATTTTTCTCAGTTGATATGTTATAGGATAATGCTTCTGACACAGGTCTGTTTTCTTTATCAGTGGGGGCATCTAGATTCAGGAGAAGATCAAGTTCTTCATCCAAATGGTCAGTCTCTTGCTTTGATAGTGGATGAACCCTCTGAAAGGGTTCTACAGTTGTTCTAGGACTATTTTTACTTCCAGGCTCTGAAGGAGCATCAGAATTGCCAGTCGCGTGGGACACCAACACTGTTTCACTTTGAGCTGGAGCTTGTCGGAACAGAAGCTCTCTCTTTTTGCCATCTTTGATAATTTTAGATTTCATCTGTGGGAGCTCTTCAGGTGTTGATGCCTAAGAGTACAAGAAAGTACTTGAGTCTTCCTGATGATTAACTCCCTTTTTACTATTCTACTTTGAAATGTAGTTTGTTTTTCCTCCATCTGACCCCTTACAAAGGCACAATGGATTTCAGCAGAATTGAATTCAGAAGTAAAATTACATGATGATACTTTCACCAAAGCAAGTACAAACTCTTTTTATCACTTATATCAGAATATGAGATTGTATGCTAAATTAGCAACTTCTATAGTGTCACAAATAAATACTTCCTGGAGAGTTACTCTTTAATTCTTCTCTCCTGAAATCCTATTGATACTCAGAATTTGGCTAGAAATATTATCCCGTGTTAGGCCTTCCCTCCAAAATTCCAGTCTTGAAAGCAAACCATACTACAGGTTGCTGAAAATCATTTAGCAAAAGTCACAAGTTATAGCTGTATATTTTTAAAAATGAAACCAAATTACAAAACATTATCACATAGTGAAACAAGAAGTGGCAAGTCATTATTTAACCATGGAACACAGATTCTGCTTTTATCAGAATGTCCTGGCATTAATAACACTGCGCCGTATCTGATGACCACTTCACCAGTCACAATGCCAAGACAAAAGATAAATGTCATAACACACACTTTATAACGCTGACAAAAGTCAAAAACAATGACTAGAACTCTTAAGAAGAAAACTGTATTTGAAAGTAGCATTTATTTGTTTGAAAGTAGCATTTGATACCCTTAGACATCACATCTGCAGATTTGTTTGAGCTCCCTTAAGAAAAAGCACTGTTGTGTCAGTCACAGAAGCATTTCATGTAACTACAAACAGAAGCAAAATTTATTCTGTAAGGGTCACCTTGCTTGAGCAGATGGATTTTTATTTTTATTTTTAATAGGAATTTTGGTTTAATATTGAAGTCTCACTGGTTCTCTGTCCTGGGTTCAGCAGTAGCAGTCATTTTTCTCCTTCTCAATAGCTGGTGCAGTGCTGTGTTTTTGACTTTCAGCCTGGGAACAGCGCTGATAACACTGACGTTTTTAGTTGCTGCTCAGTAATGTTTACTCTGACCAAGGACTTTTCTGAGTTTCATGCTCTGCCAGGGAGGAGGGGAAGCTGGGAGGAAGCAGAGACAGGACACCTGACCCAAACTAGCCAAAGAGGTATTCCATACCACAGCACGTCATGCCCAGTATATAAACTGCGGCAGTTACCTGGAAGGGCTAGATCACTGCTCGGTCGGGCTGGGTATTGGTTGGCGGGTGGTGAGCACTTGTATTCTCTTCCCTTGTTATTTCCCTTATCATTATTATTATTGGTTGCAGCAGCAGTGGTTTGTGTTATAACTTAGTTACTGTGACTAGTGGAGTCCCTCAGGGGTCGGTGCTGGGACCAGTGCTGTTTAGTATTTTCATTAACGACCTGGATGAGGGAACTGAATGTACCCTCAGCAAGTTTGCTGATGATACTAAACTGGGAGGAGTGGCTGACACACCAGAGGGCTGTGCTGCCATTCAGTGAGACCTGGGCAGGCTGGAGAGTTGGGTGGAGAGGAACTTGATGAAATTCAACAAGGGCAAGTGTAGAGTCTTGCATCTGGGGAAGAACAACCCCATGTACCAGTACAGGTTGGGGGTTGACCTGCTGGACAGTAGTGAAGGGAAAATGGACCTGGGGATCCTGGAGGGTAGGAGGATGGCCATGAGCCAGCAATGTGCCCTTGTGGCCAAGAAGGCCAATGGCATCCTAGGGTGCATTAGAAAGGGTGTGGGTAGTAGGTCAAGAGAGGTTCTCCTCCCCCTCTACTCTGCCTTGGTGAGGCCGCATCTGGAATATTGTGTCCAGTTCTGGGCCCCTCAGTTCAAGAAGGACAGGGAATTGCTTGAAAGAGTCCAGTGCAGAGCTACAAAGATGATTAAGGGAGTGGAACGTCTCCCTTATGAGGAGAGGCTGAGGGAGCTGGGACTCTTTAGCTTGGAGAAGAGGAGACTGAGGGGTGACCTCATCAGTGTTTACAAATATGTAAAGGGTGAGTGTCAGGATGATGGAGCTAGGTGTTTTTCAGTGATGTCCAGTGATAGGACAAGGGGCAATGGGTGTAAACTGGAGCATAGGAGGTTCCATGTGAACATCAGGAAAAATTTCTTTACTGTGAGAGTGACAGAGCACTGGAACAGGTTGCCCAGGGGGGTTGTGGAGTCTCCTACATTGGAGATATTCAAGGCCCGCCTGGACAAGTTCCTGTGTGATGTACTCTAGGTTACCCTGCTCTTGCAGTGGGGTTGGACTAGATGATCTTTTGAGGTCCCTTCCAACCCTTAGGATTCTGTGATTCTGTGGACTGTTCTTATCTCAACCCATGGGAGTTACATTCTTTCATTTTGTTTACACAAAGCATAAGTGCTGATAGAACAGCAGCCTGCATTACCTGCCATGTGACATGCCAGTCTCAATAAATGTACTTACTTATAAAACGCATTGTACTTACGTTTGAAGACCAAGTTCAAAGTAATCATTCTTGCACAGATTGTTTCACTTAAAATATTTGCATTTTCTTGTGAAAATTCACAGTATTACCTGCACAAGTTCAGCATCTACATTCAACCTCAGATGTAGAGGTAATTCCTGAAGGGCCTGGGCCAAAGACTGGCAGTCAACAGAAAGTGCCGATAACTGAAATATAATTAAACACATAGTATGGCTGTATTGAAATAAAAATGAAATAATAATGACTTAAATCATAGTTTTAAATGACACATGTACTAATTTAGTTTGGCTAAATTACCATAACAGCTAAAATGAAAATAATCACTTAAAGGTGTATATGGAATGCTCCTTGGGCAATGCCTTCAAAATCCAAAGCAGGAAATAGTTCTGCAAGTTGACAATGATGTAGGAGACATTACCAGCTGAAACATCTTTTAATCTGTGAAGCTTGCTATACAATGGGAATTGCCATTCTTTAATGAGTCGCTACTATTTTCTAAGCAATCGAACCATGTTGCTTGTAAGTAGCTCTACTGGTTTTACTGCCTAAACAAAATGGCCCTTTTTGTACTTCCCCATTTTTTAAAATGTTTCAACGCTTGAAAAAGCAACCAACTATAGCTACATACACTTCTAAAATAGTATTCAAGACAGATACTCTAATGCTGCCTAGTTTTGTAAAAGGTGGAAAAGCTACTTACTAACATAACAGGTATTGAAGTTACTTGGTCTCTTGGCCCTTTTCTTTTTTGGCTGTAAAGTATTAAAAACAAATTTACAGAAAATGGACCAGCAACATTTGAGGCTTTTAAAGGACACCTTGGACTTTGGTAAACTTAAACAGATTTCAAGCTCACATACGGCAGAAGATTCTGAGCATGTTAACCATTAATGAAAAAGATAATTTGATATCCATTACATGTTTTAAAATCTGAAAACAAAATGCTCAAGTTCAGTCCATACTCTCATTTTCATGGAAGCAGAGAAGCTGCTACCAAATCTAAAGAGACAAAAAACTGTCCCACTCAATGTGGTATAGACTAACAGAGACATTCAGACTTCCAAATGCTCATAAATTAGTAGAGAGTGTTTTGTGCCATATCCTGAGAGATTTGTCAAAGGAATTCACACTGCTCCTTCCCAAAGCCAATCAACAGGATGGCTTCTGACACCTGTACGCACAGCAAGAATGAGCATCAAAGACACAGTATGTTCTCATAGCATATTTACAAAGCTAAAAAATGACACAATGCAGTTGGTTCTTGTATGCAAATTCTGATTCTGGTATCCAGTAATGGTGTAAAAGGTCCAAACAAATTAACTATCTGATGGTTAGAATTTTTCTTCTTTACTAACAACTTTATTTTACAGTGGATATGTGAGCACCATCAAAGATGATTCACTAGTACAAGTAACCTCAAAAACTCTTTTAACAAGCAATTCACCAGTTCTTTTGACAGATACTGAAGATCAAATATGGTTTCTACATATTTGCAAAGCACAAGGATACTGTATGAATCCAGTTACATAAAAAAAAAAGTGTAAATAGTCAAGTATCACTGAATAACATTTAAGTCCATTCGGGAAGAGCTAAGTATACTTGCCAAAAGATATATGTGAATGAACATTGCGAGTGAAGGTGGAAACGAAGATGGGGAAGAGGAGGAAAGGCTGAGGACGAAGGTAAAGAGGAATTCTGAGAAATAACATAATGGAAGAAGGAATTCAATATCCAATTCACTAGAAGTGGTGCTTCAATGAAAACAAAACAAACAAATAAGAAATAAACCTCAAAGGGATCAAAGCAGCATTTAACAAGTTATACATGCTTCATGGCACATGTAATTACTTGTTCAAGAAAATAAGCAGAGGCATATTTTGTTGCTGTTAACTCATTTTCTACTGAAAAATACAAATTACTATTACCTGATACAGTTTTCATGAAAAAGAAAGATAGGGCAGAAACAAAAAGGGGTAATAGGCTGATGACGAGAGACAACGTGAAAAAACAGTGTTACGAAATCATTTGTGCCAGGATTCTGATGTAACATAAGAAATCAAAGAGAGGGTAATTGTGACCTGTGCAGTAAACTATTTCAAACCGGTGCAAGAACAGTGAAAGACATGAAACAGTTTGAAACAATTAATTTGGATGAGGCAGGATGAGTAACACCAATCTGGTAGGGACAGAGGCAGAAGAATGTGCCCCCCACAGCACACTTCACAATGAGCCAGTCTCATTAGTGGCAGGCAGAAGAACATTGTGAAAACCATGGGCAATGTGCAACTTCACTCTGCTCACAATGGTGTTAGCCATTCAGAAATTAATTTGAGTTCAAATCACCTAAATGCTCTAATGCAAAGCCTATGAGGAGATTATGAAGAAATTAATATTCTGGACACTGACATCCTGCATATGAGGAGCAGGAAGAACTGTGAAGAAAAAAAAAACAACACAGTCACTGAAAGACTGCATCCCGCTGAACAAACATATGATGGTTTAAAAAACTGCACTTGGATTTATTTCCTAATTTTAATTTGACTTTGTGACTTTAATGTACCTTTAAATATCACTTCCCAGGCAATAACTAGTGTTAATATTTTAGGAAATAAATAGCAAACACTCAAGCACAGTTTTGCAGCAATTTTAAGAAAAGCTTGGAAGATAAAAGCATTTATCTTGCAATAATTTAGGTGACTTACATGAGGAAGGCAGCTGAAGAAATTAAGACACATCCCAGTATCCTTATATAGAAAACAGCTGACTCTCTTGCTTTGTCCCTTTTTATTCCAGCATAAATGATCTGCATCCAAATAATCTAAAATCTAGTTGGACCCATAGTAATTTTGGAGATTAAGTTGCAACCAGAGGATATAAACTGTTAATTTGAAAGAACTAGAAGAAGCTTCATAATCAAATATGACTATATTCATAGGTTATTTTTCTAAACCATTTTCTCTTTAATACCACTGAAAAAGGCAGGCTGACTTGATACATCAGTAAAGCAAAGTGAGTTCCTTATTCTCCTTTCACTGTATGGATTTGCTTCTTTTCCTCCAATGTTACTCAAAAACCTTGCCTGCTGCTTTGATTAGTCTTCAATAGGAAATAAAGAAATAAGGACAAGACCCAAGAGCCTCCAGCATCAGGGACAAATTAATAAAAATATACAAATTAAAGAGTGCTATTACTGTATTAAACTATTGGTTGCTGAAAGCACAACTGCCTAGGTATTCTGTGCCAGGCGCCTATCCATACAAGCTCATTTGAATGATAATTCTGTTACCTGCTTATGGCACATGCTTTCTCTATCCCATTCCTTCTCATCAGCAAATCGGAACTGTGAAAGGAAATCTCCTACAGAAAATAAATAAAACACACATTTATTTTTTTTTAATAACAAGGTCTCTCCAAAGTTCCCAACCCTGCAGAAGTAAATTCAATGTCTCGTCTTCAACAAATTGGCATATAATTTTCATGCTGCATGCATTCACAATATTAAGCTTTTTTAAGCCAAAATTCCATAGAAAGATCTTTTCAACTCTTGTTTGCAAAACAGTACTGAAAGGTGCAACAAGTTCAAAACTGAATGAGGAGATGCTAGATGTCAACAAGCAAGATTTTAATTGAAAAGTCCAATCTGGCAACATACTAGGAACATGTACAGTATTCACAAAATGCCATGTTTTAAGAACATCTTTAAAACTGCTGTAGACAGATTTTCACTTATCAACATGCAGATCTCTTTTAAAATGGATAAAAATTGTCATAAAAATCAGTTTGTACACACCAAGTAAAGACTTCTTGTTGTCTGATAGCTAAATTCTCCAGACTCTCTCTTCCTAGAACTTGCCCCTACTCAGGCATGTCATCAAAAAAAAGGCACTGAACCCTGAACTCCAGCTCATGTGCACAAGGGACCGAATTAAAAGACAGCCTAGATAGGGCTAGTTAAGATACACATATAATCTTAGTTACAGGATCTCCTAACCTCTTACCACATTCCTCCAAGACAGTAACAACTTCCTTTTACTATAGGGGAGCTTGGGTTATTATTTTGGTTTAGATGTAATATTTCTATTGCAGTTCCATGACAGGTTGCGAAAGTCCTATAAATTTACTCACTGAATAAAGAACGGGCAAAAATTCTAGGAACTCAAAAAAGATAGTAAGGTCTGTGACAGAGGAAACATGAAAGATTAGTGTTGCGAGATAATGGCTAAAGACTGAGAGTAACAGAAAGCAAAGATGGTGCTGATGCCGAGTATGGGACATACACCTTCCCAGACTATGCAGTTTAAGAACAAACAGGTGTTTCAGGAGTTCTATGGGAAAAACAAAATAAAACAAAAATAACAACAAACAAATCCCTTGTTGAATTATTGCTTGAAGGAGATGAAATTTTATCCCCAGAATTGCAGCTCACCTATGAGTCAGTAGGATTTAGCCCAGCAGTTAGTTGAGAAACAGCTCATTTTTTCCCAAGTTCTAACAGAGAATGAATGTGCTAGAGGAAGTTTTCAATGACATTAGCAACAACTGAGCATCTAACTTCCATTCAGCTCTCAACATCGAACTGCCATTCATAACTTCAGCAATTCCTGAATCATGCCCTTAATCCTGCATACGGAATCTGAACACGTAATGTGCTGTCCCCAGAACTGGCTTCTTTTCCACTGTTTTCCTGTCCCAAAAGTTAACCAGAATTCAGCCTTTCAACAATGTTACTCAATAGTGCAACCATCAGCCAGCTTCTGTTTTGCAAACAGAATGAATAAGTAGTGAAAAGGCATAGAGATTTTCATATTTCTTTGCCAAACAATAAAAGAAGGGAAACTAACTATCCCCCAGCAGGCATGTAAAATTTATTGTCCATGGCTTTTTCTGTATCTGAAGTGCTTTTCCAATTTATTGCATTTTATGTATGCTCATGAGGTATGCAGTGTACCTGCATTCTAAACACACTAAGTACCTGGCATGTCCATCACTGTCATCTTAAAAAACATTCCAGCAAAAGTTCTCAGTTGAGTATTTATATAGATATTTATGACCATTACCATGTCCAGCTTGAATCTGCATCTCCCTGTCTTCATTAGGGTTATCCAACATTGGCCAACATTAATGGGTTGACATACAACCCTGCCTGGTCAGCGAGGCCTCGGTTTACATTCAATACATACAGATTTTACTATTTTGAAAATAACCAGTATCAAACAGTACAAGTGCAAATAATTATTCACTGAAATTAACAATTAGATATACAAGAAGACACCTAATTTTGCAAATATTTAGTTCATATAATTCACAAACACCATGTTCCATGATAGCTAGGTGTGCTCAGCAGTACAGAAAAATAACATCCTGTCTTTATGTATCTATCTGAAGATGCAAAGACTTGAGCACTCACAGTTGACTCACTGCTGACAAAAGTGCCTCCCTCTTCACTGCACACAGCACAAGAAGAAATAAATCCCTCTGTTTTAGAATATTTAGAATACTGCTAAGAAGTGATAACTAATGCTGAAAATTAAAGAAATTCATTCTTCAGTCTCATGACTTTAAAACGGGTATGAAAATGTGCAAACTAATTTCTATTTTAACAGTTCATATTTTAAAGGCTCAATTTAGATACATATATAAAGAAGCTTTATTGAAAAATAATTAAACCAAGTGATCCTCAAAGTCTTCATACTATCAGAACAAAGGCATAAGGATTTTCTTCTGATATCCCCAAGACTCCTCCAGTTCTTTCTCATGCTGAGTCACAAGGGAAATAAAGTTTCCTCTGTTCTTAAAAAAAAGTAAAATTTAACTGAAGAATTAGTCAAATGCTCTCAGTATCTGAGAATGACCAGATCTAAAGCAACTAAACAAACCTACTTCATCAGGAAAATCCACTGGGATCAAGAACTGGTTTATGAATCTCCACACTCAAAAAGTTGGTAATAACAGATCCTCAATTTGATATTGTATTGCTGAATTAAAGGGTATTACTTAAATGTAGTTTAACTGGGCTCTTTAAGTAAATTAACAAAGCATGTCTTTCAAATGGAAAAGCAATAAGTACAATTCACAGAAGCACATTTAATGCAAATTAGGTTAATGAGAATGTTGGTCTAACCAATTATCTTCTCACGAAGTCCTCTACCCTGAAAATAACTTCCTTTTATGCCATGAATACTAATCACATCTTGCAGTGACTACAGTTCTTCCCAACGTAAGAAAATACAGTGAATAGCTTTCGTTACTTACAAATATCACTTGGCCTTCAAATACAGAGCAGCTAAAAATAATGCATTTAAGTAAACCTCACACATCGTCTTCAGTAACATTCATAGTAAGCCTTAATACTGTTTATTGTGTAAAATGTAACTTTATTATGAAGGAACAGCAGATCTAAACCACCATGCTTTCCTACCACATCAATGTATTTTAAAGCTCAATTGATTTAAACAGAACACATTTCATAGTCTCAGTAGCAGAATTATCTCTTCATTTAAATAGTCACTAAATAGCAGAATCAAACAAATCCTACCTATAATTTAATAAAATTTTCTAATCTGTGAAATTATGAGTCCAAGAGTTGAAAGTTTTTCTTAAAAACTGATTTCAGTAGAAAAACTTACATATCAGTGGAATCATTTTGTTCATATTAACTCTCTAATTCCTCAAAAACAGAAGACATAAAACATTACTGGAGACAGACAAGAAATATTCCGTATTCAGAAATTTTTCAAATTAGAGGGAAGGATCAATGTAACAGGATCCTTCTAAGACTACCGTGATTGTAAAGAAGCACTGCAAGGGCAAATATAAGACTCAAAACCATTTTTTTCAATCAGAATTTAAATTCTCCTAAATAAGTACCAATGATTTTGATAAATTTATTTGGGGTTTTCCAGCCTTTATTCACCTCTCATTCATTATATTTTGGGAATTCAATCCTCTGTCTTCAAATGTGTTTAGTCAGCTAAACAAAATGCAGCAAATTTAAGACAACATTATGCAGCTGAACCAAATAAACCACAATAGAAAACTACAACTACATTTGGGAAATTAGTAACAAGATGTAAAATATCTCAAAAAGCACCCTCGACCACACTAGTCAAAGTTCTTCCGGAGCTACTAAATTGATAATATCCTCTCAAAGGAAGTTCATCTTCAGAATTGATTTTAAGCAACTTTGCAAGTTTAACTTGCAAGAGATCCTTTTTTCTCTATATTGATCCCCAATTCATCACTAATGATATAATATCAAAATAAGCTACCTGCCTTCTCCACCAGTCTTCTTCATGGGCTGCAATAATGCAGGAGAAAGTAGATGTTATTTTAAGGTGAAAAAAAAAGAACCAGATCCTCCAGTCTAACACTTTTCTGCAGGAAAAAAACAATGAATTGCAGAATTTAGGCATGAATGAAGCTTGAAATCTGATCCAACATCAAGGGTTCATAAAAGACTGATCAACTTCTCTTGAGAAATTAGAGGAAGATAAGCAGTATATTCTTTCCCTTTTAATAGTGCAAGACTTCATGCTGAAAGTCCAAGAGACGAGCGAAATCTATAGATATAAGAAAAGGTGGGCAACTACTAAGTCATGAATTTTGAGCTAACTTAGGAGCATGAAACCTAAAACTTACCAGTCTTTGGGATTAATTAGGTATGAGTGAATCTTTCTCAAGCTAGAAGAAAAAGCATGAGGAAGAACTCTCATCCATCCATCCATCCATCCATGCATGCACGCCGTGGCCTGCTCTAACTAGAAGATTTTAAAAACAGCACACAAAGAGCAAGAACCACAGACTAGGCAATTTGGAACATCATCAGAATGAAAAGATTTATTTCTTCTTACACAGTGTTTCTACACAGTGCGATTTTCATATATATTATAGATATATTTATATTTTTTATGTATATATACATAAATTGTCTATCTAAAATTAATCCTCATTTTATATAAAAATCTCTTTGGATAAATACTACTGAAGACTTCCTTTTACAGGACACCTAATGGTTTTTCCTATTTTTCTCCAACAGAAGGAGACTTACATATATACAAATTCATAATATTCTTCCAACACTATGAACGTATGTTCTGCAAAAGTTTTATATGAATAATTTTATACACCTCATAAACAGATAATCATCCAGATATGATCGTTTTCCCACAACAAGGTAGCATACAATATTGAAAACAGACTTCTCAAAGACACACAGCTTCCAAAGTCTGTTCATGCAAGTTCTAATAACATCACTGATTTTCTACTTCTGCTTTTTAATTTCTCCACTAGAGTACACATTGTAACTATTATCATTTACTGTAAGTAAGACTGTAATGTGCTACTTATGCATAGAGTAA